AGACCCTATCTCAAATTAAAAAATAAAATGGGGTGGGGATTATAGCTCAGTGCAAAGGTCCTGGATTCTTAACTCAGTCCAAAAAAAAAAAAAAAAAGTATTCAGCGAAGGTGAACCGCAGGGATGTCAGAATGAGTGTGCACGTGCGCATAAGGACGTGTGCACCTGTGGGCTCACACGTGATTCCCCCCAGCAGCAGGCAAATGGGAGCCGTGTCAATGTGCTCTACTCCACCCCTGCCTGTTACCTGTGGGAACTGAACAAAGCCAACCTCACCTGGTATTTGGGGAGCCTGGGTGGTGGGGGGAGGGCTGGTCTGCCCCAGGGCCGCTGTGTTGTTCTTACAACCTCCACCATAGGTCTGTGAAGGAGGATGACTTCTTCCCCTATGCCGACGGCCCCCACATGTTCTGGACCGGCTACTTTTCCAGCAGGCCAGCCCTCAAGCGCTACGAACGCCTCAGCTACAATTTCCTGCAGGTGGGTGGGTGCGACCAGAGGACAACCCGGGGGTAGCCCATGGGACAGTTCAGGTGGCCCAGGCCCGGCGCATCTATCTTGTATCCCCCAGGTGTGTAACCAGCTTGAGGCGCTGGTGGGCCCGGCGGCCAACGTGGGACCCTATGGCTACGGAGACAGTGCGCCCCTCAGTAGGTGTCAGGCCTGGGGGGCCCGGGTAGGGCTGGAGCCAGAAAGCATTCCTTCGGGGGCCCCTCTTGAAGCTTCTGAGTCCAGCACGCGAGCATGGGGCCTTTCTTGCCTCCTTGGGGTCGAGCCAGAGTTGTGTGCAGGACCCACTGACCACCCCCAATCTGCCCGCAGACGAGGCGATGGCGGTGTTGCAGCACCACGATGCGGTCACTGGCACCTCGCGGCAGCACGTGGCGGATGACTACGCGCGCCAGCTGTCTGTGGGCTGGGGACCCTGCGAGGTGGGCGGGGCTGAGGGAAAGGGCGTGGTCTAGGGCGGTGGGGGTGGAGCCTAGGTGTCCTTGTGGGGCGGGGCTTGTAGGAGGCGGGGCAGAAAGATGGGTTAAGGAAGAGGGCGGGGTTCCTGAGCGAGGGGTGGAGACTGGGAGGGGCACCTGGGATAGAAGGGTGGAGACAAGGGAAGTATAGGATGTGGTCCAGGCAGTGGAGTGGATCCTAGTCAGGATTGCGGGGCAGGGGGTGCAGGAGGCGGGGCACAGGGAAGAGAGGGGCAGGGTCGAGGCAGCAGGTGTGGCCTTGCACTGGAGGCAGGTGACCCAGGTGTGGACCTGGTCAGCGCCAGACCTGCCTCTTGCACTCCTCCCCAGGTTCTTCTGAGCAACGCGCTAGCCAAGCTCAGTGGCTCCAAGCAGTCTTTCTCATTCTGCCGTGACCTCAATGTCAGCATCTGTCCCCTCAGCCAGACATCTGCGCAGGTGACCTGGAGTGGGGCGGGATGGAGGGGCGGGACCCGAGGCCGGCCGTTGGCAGGGCGAGGAGGAGGCGGCGCAGTGGGGTGGTGGTTGGGCGATGCTGTTTGGAAGCAGTGGTTGCACGTTTTCTTTGGAGGCTCATCCTGGGGCTGCAGGACACAGGGCAGGGTGGAGCTTGGGCAGACTGATACTCCGCGAAGATGGCATGTCCTAGGAGGCCATGATCGCCCTAGGACGTTGCTGTGTCTGGTGGGGAGGCTGGTGTGGGAACGCCTGCTGTGACCCTCCCATCCCTGACAGTTCCAGGTCATCGTTTATAACCCCCTGGGGAGGAAAGTGGATCAGATGGTGCGGCTGCCTGTCAGAGAAGGCGTTTACCTCGTAAAGGACCCCAGAAACAAGACTGTGCCGAGCAGGGTGAGCCCACTCGCTGAGTACCGCCTGCCTTAGGCATTTTCCTCCTGTTCTTTGAGCCCAGGGCCTTTCACTGCGGTACATCTTCAGCACTGTTCACTTTTTTGTTTTTTTCGACAGGGTCACACTGTGTAGTTCAGTAGTTCAGGCTTGCCTTGAGTTCACTTGTTTTTTTTTTTTTTTTTGGTTTTTTTGGTTTTTCTCCGGTACCGGGAACCGAACTCATGACCTTGCGCTTGCCAGGCAGGCGCTTTTGCCGCTGAGCTAAATCCCCAGCCCCCGAGTTCACTTGAATTGTGATCCTCCTGCCTCAGCCTCTCAGAGTGTTGGGGTTACAGCAGTGTGTCTCCAGATTTGGCTTCTCCCTGTTCTCATGGACACCTCCCCAAGAATGTCTCTTCGTCCCCTAAGGATCTTTCCTAGGGCTGGGGATATAGCTCAGCAGCACAAGCGCCTGCCTAGAAAGTGTAAGGTCCTGAGTTTGATCCCAGGTACCCTGCCCCCTCCAAAAAAAAGTGTCCTAAGGATCTTTCTTTCACTCCTCTGTGCCTTAAGGATCTCTTCCAGGGAGTGGCATGTGTCTGTCATCTCAGCACTGAGGGAGGCTGAGGCAGGAGGATAGAAAGTCAAGTCCTGACTGGACAACTTAGTGAGACTCAGTTTCAAAATAAAAATGAATAAATAAATAAATAAGGCTGGAGATGTAGCTCAGTGCGAGAGCCTCCCTGGGTTTGATTGCAGGATCTAGAAAGAAAAAAACAAAACTGTTCTCTTTCTTCTCTCACTTCTCCCTGACTTTGTCTTCCTCCCACCCATGGATTTTTTTTTTTTTTTTTTTTTTTGGTCTTTTTGAGACAGGGTCTTGCGATGTAGTTCAGGCTGGCCTTGAGCTCACTTTGTAGCCCAGGCTGGCTGAACTCGCAACAATTCTTCTGCCTCAGCCTCCTGAGTGCTGAGATTACAGGTGTGTGCCACCACGCCCCGTGATGCCTCCACTCTTATCTGTCCATTTATTTATCCATCCATCCTTATCTATCTATTTGAGACAGGGTCTCAATATGTAGTCCAGGCTGATCTTTGACTCACTATGTAGCCCAGGCTAATCTGGAACTCATGGCGATCCTCCTGCCTCACCCTCCTGAGTGCTGGGATTTCAGATGTGCCCCACCATGCCTGGCTGATGTCTCTACTTAGGAATGGCACGATATGTCCTTGTAGTCGCTTGCCTCAGTTTCCATTCTCCTTGACCCCAGGTGGTGGAACTTCCCAGCTCTGGCAACCCAGAACTCCTGTTCCCAGCACTGGTGCCTGCTCTGGGCTTCAGCATCTACTCCGTAAGCCAGGTGTCTGTCCAGAGCCCCAAGGCCCGCCGTCTACATTCCAGGCCCCAGAAACCTAGGTCCCCTGTCTTGTCCATCAAAAATGAGGTAAGGCCCTAACTGATCCCTTCCCTGCCTCTGTGGCAAATTTGAAATGGCATGGTGGGCTACTTGGACTCCTGGTCAGGAGGTCCCTGGTCTCTGGTTTGCTGTCGCCGCTTCCCTGATTGAGTGTCTTTAGCCGATGAGTGACCTTCATGTGAGCCTCAGTGTCCTTTCCAGGGGAGTCCAATGTGAGGGTTCAATGTAGCTCTGGGTAATGTGCAGCATTTATGTTAGAGCTGATGATGGGAGGGGTGCTTGCAATTTCAGAGGAGGGGTTTCCAGGAAGGCCCTCAGATAAGGTGACATTTGTCTTTTTTTGTTTGTTTGTTTGTTTGTTTTTGTTTTTTGAGACAGGGTCTCGCTATGCCGTTCAGGCTGATCTTAAACTCACTGTGTAGCCCTGGCTGGCCTTGAGCTCATAGCGGTGCTCCTGCCTCAGCCTCCTGAGTGTGGGAATTATAAGTGTGCACCATCCCGCTTATCTTGAGACCCAGGGCTGAGTGTTAGCTCAGTGGTACAGTGATTGCCTAATGTGTATGAGGCCCTGGGCTCTGCCCCCAGCATTGCAGTAAATAAATAAGTACCCAGCAGAGGGATCCAGACAGGTAGAGCACAGCAGACACAGCAGCCCTCAGATGTTTAAAAAACTTTTTCTTAGTACATGTTCACAGATCATTGTAGGGAATTAGTATATGTGCATAACACACCTTAATTATTTTTCTTTTGGTGTAAGGGCCGAGAATCTTGCCGCGTGAAGGAAGACTCCAAGAGACGCTCTCTCATGCAGTAGGCAAGGGGAGTTTATTTACCAGGCATGCGTGGGGCTCACTGAATGTGCAGGAACAGAGAGCGCTGAGCTGGGGTTAAGTCTGGCTTTTAAACCCAAAAACCACAAAGGGCGGGCATTTGCAAGCGAAATTACAGAAGCAGATAGCATTGGTTAGTTCAAACTGACTTTTACAATCATTTGGGGGGGTTTTGTGAGGAGACTCAGGAATGAGGGAGTGTCAAAGGCAAGATAGTTGCTCTGAGTAAACAACAGATGTTCTTTTGTGGTTTCTTTTCCCAAGGACAGGATGGGAGATCATTTCCTGAAACTCCTAGCACCTCCTGGGCGGTCTCATGCTGCTTATCTATAGCCGGAGAACAGCAGGTTCCCATAAAATTTTTCCCCACTTCTTCTTGTGCAAATCTCTAATCCTAGAGATCAGAGAGTTTCTCAGGGCCATTTAGGACCGAATATTGTTGTCTGATAACCATCAATTTGACATTTTTAATTTGGCCCTGTAAAAAGTTAACTATTCTGTTTAAAATACACGGTCCAATGGTTATTATTAAAAGTAGTACAATCAATGGTCCTGCCAAAGCAGACAGCAACGTAGTGAGCCAAGGGGACTGAGTGAATGAAACAAGACTCAAACCATCCTTGTTGTGTCTCCCGTTTTCTCTGTCTTTCCTGGAGGTGCTCTCTAAGTTTGGCCATGGACTCTTTGACTACTCCCGAATGGTCTGCATAAAAGCAGCATTTTTTTTTAAGGCAGCACATAGGCCACCTTTTTTTATAAACAATAAGTCTAGCTCACGCCTGTTCTGCAGTACTACCTCTGACAGGGAAGTCAAAGATTCCTGTAGGGCAGTTACTGATGTTTTTAAGGCTTTTAATCTGTCAAGCAAGGGGGTGTGAAAAGAGTCGTCACCTTCTGGAATAGGGGACATATCTCCTACCGGAGGGGGTGTTCCATATAGAACCTCGAAAGGAGTCAAGTTGCACATAGAAGAGGAAGGGGTGTTTCTGGCCCTAAAAAGGGCATAGGGTAGGAGCATGGTCCAATCTTTTAAGCCAGTCTCTACAGCTAATTTGGTCAAGGTCTCCTTAATGGTTTTATTTATTTTTTTTACCTGTCCTGAGCTTTGGGGTTTATACACACAATGTAATTTTTAATCAATCCCAATATCCTGGCCACACCCTGACTCACCTGAGCCACGAACGCCGGTCCGTTATCTGTCCCTATTACCTTGGGCAGGCCAAACCGAGGGAAGATTTTTTTTATGATCTTTTTGACCACCATTTGGGCGGTTTTTCTTTTAGTGAGAAAGGCTTTTACCCATCCTGAGAAAGTGTCCACAAAAACTAACAGATACCTGAGTCCATACCTTGTAGGTTTGACTTCGGTGAAGTCAACCTCTCAAAGTTGTCCAGGTCGGGTTTTTCTTAGCCTTTTTTCTGCTGGTACTTTAGGATAGGTATTTACAATCTGACATGTTTGACATCCTTTTACTACTTGGTCTGCCAGCTCTTTTCGTATCGAGGCTGGGATAGTTTTATCCTGATCTTGCAGGAGCTGCTGGAGTTTTTTTTTTGATCTCAGGTGGGTGAATTGATGGACTTGCTGTAAGTAGGTTAGGGCCTTTAATTTGTCTGACTGCGGGGGTTCAGGCGCCGGTTGGAGGGCTCCCGACATTCTTTTGTTACCAGGAACATTTTTCCTGAGTCTTTTGATGCAATTGCTTTTGTCTCCTCATCGGCCCGCCTGTTACCCGTTGCCACCGGGTCTGGTCCTTTCTGGTGGCCGGCGCAATGAACTATGGCTAGTTCTTTGGGGAGCGTGACGGCAGCTAGTAATCTGAGGATCTCTTTTTTATTTTTAATATCTCTGCCCGCCGAGGTAAGCAAGCCCCTCGGTTGGTAAATAGCCCCGTGAATGTGTGCGGTAGCAAAGGCATAGCGGCTATCGGTGTAGATGGTTGCCCGCCTTCCTTCTGCAAGTTCTAGGGCTTTAGCAAGGGCTATAAGCTCAGCTCTTTGGGCTGAGGTCCCCTCCGGCAGTCCAGAAGACCAGATAACTTTGGATTTGTCCACCACCGCCGCCCCCGCTCGTCTCTTACCATCCTGGAGAAAGCTGCTCCCGTCAGTGAACCAGGTTACCTCTGAGTTGGGCAGGGGCTGGTCCTTTAAGTCTTGGCGGATTTTGGTTTTTTTTGCTAGGATCTCCTGGCAGGTGTGCAGTATGGGTCCTAAAGCCTCGTCCGGGAGTAAGGTGGCAGGATTTAAGGCAGAGGGGGATCCAAAAGTTATTCTGTCTCTGTCCAAGAGAACACTCTGATAGTGGGTAATTCTAGCATTAGACAGCCATCGGTCAGGGGGCTGGCAGATGACACTCTCCAGTGTATGAGAGGGGCCACAATAGTTAACCTTTGGCCTAGAGTGAGCTTATCCGCGTCTTTGGCCAGGAGGGCAGCGGCCATGATTGCTTTGAGGCAGCGTGGCCATCTGCTGGCAACTGAGTCTAGCCGCTTGGACAAATAGGCCACCGGCCTCTTCCAGGGTCCCAAAGTCTGAGTTAATACCCCTCGGGCTATGCCTTTTTTTTTTTTTTTTTTATGTACAGGGTGAATGGCTTCTCTACATTTGGGAGAGCTAGAGCTGGGGCAGACAGGAGCGCCCTCTTTATGTCATTGAAGGCCTTTTGTTGCTCCGGTTTCCACTGAAAGACAGCATTTCCTTTTAGCAGGGGATAAAGTGGGGAGGCAAGGGACGCAAATCCTGGGATCCATAATCGGCAAAACCCCGCGGTCCCCAGAAACTCATGTAGCTGCCTTTGACTCGTGGGCAGGGGAATCTGGGTTACAGTCCTTTTTCTGGCTTCCGTAAGCCAACGCTTTCCATCCTTGAGGGTATATCCCAGGAATGTCACTTTCTCCTTACAAATTTGGGCTTTCTTTGCTGAGGCTCGGTACCCTAGTTTAGCCAGTTTTCTCAGTAACCCCCGAGTTCCAGATTTACAGTTCTCTTTAGTCTTTGCTGCCAATAGTAGGTCATCTACATATTGGAGCAGGGTAACTTTAGGGTGTTGGGTCCTAAAACAGCTTAAGTCCTTGTGGAGGGCTTCGTCAAAGATAGTGGGAGAATTTTTAAACCCCTGTGGTAAACGTGTCCATGTTAGTTGGCCCGAAAACCCTGTTTCAGAATCTGTCCATTCAAAAGCAAACAAGGGCTGACTATCTTTGTGCAGAGGTAGACAGAAAAAAAGCATCTTTTAGATAAAGTACTATGTACCAGGTCTTTCAGGGTTGAGGGTGCTAAGCAAGTTATAAGGGTTTGGCACAGTAGGGTGTATATCTTGTACTCTACTGTTTATTTTTCTCAGGTCTTGTACCGGTCGGTAGTCTTCGGTCCCGGGCTTTTTGACCGGTAGCAGGGGTGTGTTCCAAGCCGACTGGCAAGGCCTAAGCACTCCCAACTTAAGAAGTTTTTGTATATGGGGTCTGATCCCTTCTCGTGCCTCCCTACTCATGTAATATTGTCTGACTCGAACCGGAGTAGCAGAGGTCTTTAACGTAACCACCACTGGGGGCTGGTTTATGGCTAATCCTAGCCCCGCCATTTCTGCGCAGGAATCAGGGAGTTCATCGAGCCATTCCTGGGGAACATGTTCTTGAGATCGCTCCGGCCCTACATACAGCTGATATTTTTCTTCAGCTGATACGATGAGGGCAGTAACTACAGGCTGGCTCACCAGTGGGTTTAAAAATTTAATCTCTGGCCCTTTGGGGTTGAATGTAATTCTTGCTCGCAGCTTTGTTAACAGATCTCTCCCCATCAAAGGGGCAGGACACTCAGGTATGACTAAGAAGGAATGTTGAACTTTTTCCTTCCCCAAGTCCGTAATTCTTTTAGTGGTCCGGGCTCGGTATCGGCTGCCGTTGGCCCCTTGAACCAGGGACCTCTTGGTGGAAAGTGGTCCTAGAGGGGCCTGAAGGGCGGAGAACACTGCTCCCGTATCCACTTTAAAATCAGTTGGTGTCCCCTCCACATCAAACGTTACCCTGAGCTTGGGGAGGGGGTCCGAGCCCCGTTCCCCCTAGTCATCATTCTTTAGGGCTAGTACAGTCGATGGGCATTCTTGGGTTGTTTTTTTTTTTGTTTTTTTGTTTTTTTTTGGGGGGACAGTCCTTGGCCCAGTGTCCCGTCTCCTTACAATAGGCACACTGGTTTGAGTCTAAGGGGACCCGGCGGCGTGGGCCTGACTTTTTGTTGTCTCCTGTTGTGCCTTTTACTACTGTGGCCAGGATCTTAGTTAACTCCTTAGTTTTCTTTTTTTTTCTAGCTGCTTCCCTTTTCTCCCTTTTTTTTTTCTCTTTTTTGTTCCTTTTTCTCCTCCGTCTCTCTCTTATAGAAGACTTTCTCTGCCTCTTTTACCAAATCTCTCAGGGTCAAATCTTGTAGCCCGTGCAGGCGCTGCAACTTACGCTTGATATCTGGGGCTGACTGACCGATAAAGGCCATAGCAATCGAAGCCCTTTGTTCCTCAGCCTGAGGGTCAAAGGGCCTATACCTGCGGTAGGCTTCCATTAACCTTTCCAGAAACACCGAGGGTGATTCATTAACCCCCTGAGTTATCTCTCTCACCTTAGCCAAATTAGTAGGCCGGCGTGCAACCAATCCCAGACCCGCTACCAGAGTCTGGCGATAGATGGACAGATGCTCCCTACCTGCTGGCGTATTCAGATCTCAATCAGGGCGGCGCAGTGGGAACAGGTCATCAATGATGTTCTGGAGTTGAGTGGGTCTCCCATCTTGCCCAGGAACCCGTTTCCGGGCTTCCACGAGAATTCGGTCCCGTTCCTCAGTGGTGAACAGGGTCCCAAGAAGCTGCTGGCAATCATCCCACGTTGGCTGGTGTGAAAACATGAGAGATTCCACCAGCCCAGTTAACCTAGAAGGGTCTTCAGAAAAAGGAGGATTATTATTTTTCCAGTTGTATAGGTCAGAGGAGGAGAAAGGCCAATATTGCTGGGCAGGCATGTCCCCCCTGCCCATCGTCCACCATAGGCCCATCAGGTCGGAGAGGGAGCGTGACTGCCACATCTTGGGGGCTTTGGGCCCGCCGGCTGCGGGTTCCCTGGGCAGGTCCTTGTCCCGAGGAGCCTGCATGATGGTCCTGTAAGGTAGAGTCAGAAGAAGAGGGCAGGGGCAAGGACGGAGCGGGCGGAGGAGGAGCGGCTGGGGCAGGTGGGTAAGGTGGGGGTGAGACATCTGGCCCCAGGAGGAACAGATCAGGTTGGGACTCAGGTAAGACTGGGGTGGGCAAGGACGGGTAAAGGGTGGGCACCGGGGCCGCGCTTGAGTCTTAGCCGGGAGTATCATCGTGGGCCCGGGCAGATCTGGAAGGAGGAAAGGTCTTACCCATCCTGGTGGGTCTTCACATAGGTCCTGCCAGACAATGATATAGGGCTGCTGGTCAGGGTGGCCGAGGCGTCCGGGGCGGAAGATGGCGTCCTTAACCACCCGGATTAGGGGAAGATGGAAAGATCCTTCAGGAAGCCATCCCACTCTAAGGGAGGGCCACTCAGCCGAACAGAAAGCCTGCCACTTACCCTTTTTAATAATCAAAGAAAGGTTATGAGCTCTCTCACGGACCTCGGTCCAGTGACTCAAGGTCAAGGAGAGAGGGGATGATGTTGTTTGTCCCATATCCGCTGTCCTAGACAAAAAGTAAATGCCAAGTGCAAGCGACAAACACACAAACAGCGACACAAAACATCTCCAAGACACACAGAACAAAAAGTATACAGATTCCACTGGCTTAATACCAAGGTTCTGAACCTCAGCTAAAAGGGTTACCTGTTCAGAATCAACCAGATAGGACACATCCAGGCGTCCCTGGAGGTTCTGACACTCTGAGGCGTCCCCCAGAGTCATGGCTTGCAACCCCCGGACACGTCTGTCGGTTGCAGCCGAAGAGAGCTCACGCGTCTCGTCGGCAGCCACAGCCAGTTTCAAAACCCTAGGTGATCACGCTCCAAAGAAACAAAGGCCAAGACAAAGGCCAAAAGGCCGGACTTACCCCGAGAGAAGACTGCTGGTCTCCCTCACGGAGAGAGAGAGATCTCTGCAGAGATATCTCGGTGGAACCTCCAGGTGTAAGGGCCGAGAATCTCGCCGCGTGAAGGAAGACTCCAAGAGACGCTCTCTCATGCAGTAGGCAAGGGGAGTTTATTTACCAGGCATGCGTGGGGCTCACTGAATGCGCAGGAACAGAGAGCGCTGAGCTGGGGTTAAGTCCGGCTTCTAAACCCAAAAACCACAAAGGGCGGGCATTTGCAAGCGAAATTACAGAAGCAGATAGCATTGGTTAGTTCAAACTGACTTTTACAATCATTTGGGGGGGTTTTGTGAGGAGACTCAGGAATGAGGGAGTGTCCAAGGCAAGATAGTTGCTCTGAGTAAACAACAGATGTTTTTTTGTGGTTTCTTTTTCCAAGGACAGGATGGTAGATCATGTCCTGAAACTCCTAGCACCTCCTGGGCAGTCTCATGCTGCTTATCTATAGCCGGAGAACAGCAGGTTCCCATAAAATTTTCCTTACAGTCCTTCTTCCTCTCTCCATCTCTTAAGGGGGAAGATTTATGTCACTATTTCCTATTAGCTGTCTTTTATTTTGCTCTTTATTTATACTTTGGGTTTCTCATATAAGAGAAACCACGTGATATTTAAACATGTGTGTCTGCTTTATTTCACTTAACATTATGGTCTCAAGGTACATCCATTTTCCCATAAAGTACTCAGGTTTGTCCTTTTTTATGGTAGAGTAGTACTCCATTATGTGTAAATACATTTTCTGTATCCATTCATCTGTTGATGGACATATATAAGGTACTTCCAAGATTTAGCTACTACGAGCTGTGCTCAAAACCCTCAGATTGTCAAGGCCACGAGGACCAAGAAGAAGACCAGCTCTTACTCTGAAGGAGCCACAAATAGGACAGGATTGCATTGAAATTGTTATGGAAGCCAAGCATAGTGGCACATACCTGTAATCCCAGCACTTGGAAGGCTGAGGTAGGAGGATCACTGTGACTTCAAGGCCTGGGCTACATAGTGAAACCTTGCCTCAAAAAACCAAAAAAAAAAAAAAAAAAAAAAAAAAAAAGGGAAAAGGGAATCTGGAATTATTAATCTTAACTGGAATTATTATTCCAGTCAAGTTTTTTTTTAATATATGATTCTAAAAGAAATGAAAACATTTCCTTGGGCTTGTTCTGGACTCACAACCAGACATAGTGTGGTGTGTACCTGTAATCCTAGCACTCTGGGAGGCTGAGAAAGGAGGATGGTGAGTTTGAGCCCTGCCTGGGAGATTGTTAGCAAGACCCTAAAACAGCCTGGAGGTATAGCTCAAAAAAAGGCCTGGGGTTATAGCTCAGTGGAACAGAGCTTACTTACCATGCCTGAGGCCCTGGGTTTATGCCCCAGTACCAGACCCCTTCCCCGCCAAAAATAAAGACTATTGATCCTAGCACTTTTGCCTTGGTGGCTCCTCCTTTATTTATTTATTTTGTTTTTGTTTTTGAGACAGGGTCTCCCTAGGTAGCTCCAGGCTGATCTCGAACTCAGCCTCCCGACTGTAATGCTGGGATTATAGGCATGTGCCACCATGCCTGGTGATGGCTCCTTTCTTCCATTAAAAATAAAATGATGTTAGCTGAATGGAGTGGTGCATGCTTGTAATCCCAGCATTTGAGAGGCTGAGGCAGGAGGATTGCCACGAGCTTGAGGCCAGTCTGGGATACATAGTTTGTGGCTAGCCTGAACTACCGAGTAAGCCCTTGTCTCAAAAACAAAAACAAAACAAAAAAAAAAATTGATGTTATAAATACAATCCAGACAATCTTATTTTAATACTTATTATATTATAAATACAATCCAGGCAATCTTATTTTAATATACATAGTCATTATTATTCCAGTCAAGTTTTTTTTTAATATATGATTCTAAAAGAAATGAAAACATTTCCTTGGGCTTGTTCTGGACTCACAACCAGAAACGAACCAAATGGTACCGACCGACAAACACCAAGATGCACGGACCGCCAATTGTAATTTAGGATGAGCCTTTATTCCTGGCCAGGGACTGACTGAGAGCCTCCACGCAGGGAAGGATCAGACCAGTCCCGATCCAGGGAGGAGAGTGGTTTTTAAGGTTTTTAAACCCTAAAACCGCATCCTGTTTGGCAAACACATGTCACATCTGTAACAATGAGGGGATTTTTATTGCAGGAACAGTACATTCTGAGAATCTGGGAGGGGTAGAGCATTTACGGGAAGAACAATACATTTTGGGAGTCCAGGAAGAGCAGGGTGTTTACTACCAGTTTACAAGCGTACATTCCAGAAATGGTAAACACAACGATCTAACCGCAGGGCAGGGGTGGGAAGTGGGAATTAAACTAGAACCTTTGATGTCTGTGGTGGGGCTTTTACAGGACTCCCAAAAGTCTCATGGCTTTTGTGCTCAGTACCAACGTTGGCCCTGATCTGGAGTAGATGGGGGCTATGACACTTTTTCTTTTTTTGGTTTTTAGAGATAGGGTCTATGTAGCCCAGGTCTCAAATTCACAGTGATCCTCCTGCCTCACCTTCCCCGGTGCTGGGGTTAGGGGCGTGGGCCACCACACCGGGCTGGTGGAGGCTGTAACTGGACTTAGGTACCACAGCTGCCCTCTGGCTGGCGTGGGGTGAGTAGGGCACAGAGAATGAGCATAAAGTGGGGACGGGATCAGGGTGACGGTGGCTTTGCAGGGCCCTGGAGGGCCAAGAAGCGACTGCATTGTAGGTCAAGGATGAGGCTGAAGGAGGTGCTGCGGGGTTTGTAATAGGATCAAAAGTGAAAAGTGTGGGAAGCTGGGGTGACTGCGAGTCTTGTCTGAGTCCTGAGAGGGGAGGCGCTGCAGCGGGCTGCAGCCCTGGGCAGTGGCATCTGGCTCTTTCCCTGTGCAGCACCTTAGGGCTACGTTCCATCCTGACACCGGGTTCTTGAGGACGATCGAGGTCCTGGACCGGAAACTCACGCTGCCCGTGAGCCAGGCCTTCTTCTGGTGAGAGAGGACTTCGGGGCGGGGCGGGGCGGGGCCGGGCCAAGGCCAGGCCTTTCCCTGACTCATCTGCGCTGGCTGCAGGTACAATGCCAGCACCGGAGACCAGCAAAGTGATCAGGCGTCTGGTGCCTACATCTTCAGACCCAGCCAACCGAAGCCGATTCCCGTGAGCCACTGGGCGCAGACACACGTGGTGAAGGTCTGGAGCCACGAATGACCCGGGGGCAGCTGGGGCTGAGAGGTGGCAGTGGAGCCTGAGAGGCTGATTTCTGTCCTTAGATAGGGTGTGAAGGTCACAACTGCTTGAAGGAGAGGCGCTTCCTACCCGTTCACACCCACCCACTGCGGGTGTCAGGTTATACAGTACTCAGCTCTGGAATTGGAGGGGGTGGGGACAGCCAAGTGTAGCTGCTTAAAGAGTTCCTCAGTGGTGGTGATCCCAGCACTCTGGGAGGCTGAGGCAGGAAGATTTGCAAGTTTGAACCCAGCCTGAGCATCTTACTGACTGAGATCTTGTCTCAAAAGAAAAAATTTTCCGGGCATGGTGGTACATGCCTGGAATCCCAGCACTTGGGAGGCTGAGGCAGGAGGATCATCGTGAGTTCAAGACCAGCCTGGGCTACAAAGTAAGCTCAAGGCCAGCCTGAACTGCATAGCGAGACCCTGCCTCAAAAAGACAAAAAAGAAAGAAAAAATTTAAAAAGGACTGGGGTGTAGCTCAGTGGAACAGCCCTGGATTCAGTCTGCAGTACCACACACACACACACACACACACACACACACACACACACAAAGAGTTCATCAAGCTCTGTGGTTCACGTTTATATTGGGGGGATACGGAATAATTTTTACTTGGAGAGTGACTTGGGTGTGGATCTGAGGATGCAAGCAACAGGAAACAGTGGTTTCCTAGGGCTTTTATTGACATTTTCCCTGAGGTAGGAACAGGGCAGATAATGGCAAGACTCACATTTGTGCAGGGTTAAGAGCTTGTATTTGATGTGGTTTCCTTGAGGTGAACAGTTATATCCCTGAATCACTGAATTGGGATACTCTTGGCCTATTGTAACAGTTACCTAAATTAACCGCCTGACAGAAAGTCTTGCTGGGCCATCCAGGGAAGGTGGGGCAGTTCCACAGTCTTCCAGTTCCCTGTTACCTTGTTGCTCTAACTTCTTCAATATTCAGCTTTCACCTCATGGTCCAAGATGGCTGCTCTAGTTCCAGCTATCACATCTGCATTTGAACCAGTGGGAGAGGGAAAGGGCTGAGAAACATTGTTTATACCATCTTGATTATTTTCCACGGGGGCAGATTGTGGTCACACAGCTCTTGATAGTCTCAGGGAAGAGTGAATAGTATAGTCTTCATACCGGGTAGTCATGTGCCAAGCTAGAATCTTATTCTAAGGAGGGAAGGTGGGGTAATAGTAGGCAAGAAGTATGTATTATTTTTATTGGTGCATGTTTGTTGTACATGATAGTTACATTCTTGTGTGGAGTTGGTACTTGTACATAACACATCTTAATTCTTTTTTCATCCCCTTCTTCCCTCTCTTTCTCTCTTTCTGTCTCCTGGTCTCTTTCCCATTTGCAAAAACATCTATCTTGAGCCAGGCGTGGTGGCGCATGCCTGTAATCCCAGCACTTGGGAGGCTGAGGCAGGAGGATTGTTGCCAGTTCAGTGCCAACCTGGGCTACAAAGTGAGCTCAAGGCCAGCCTGAACTGCATAGCGAGACCCTGTCTCAAAAAGACAAAAACAAAAACAAAAAATCTATCTCCCTGGTCCTATTATGTATCTTTAATTTTACTCTTTACTTATCTATTGTTTTTCTCATATAAGAGAAACCATGTTATTTTAAGCTTGTGTGTCTGATTTATTATATCTCGTAGTATTATGGTTTCAAGGGCTGGGAATCTAGCTCAGTGGCACAGTGCCTGCCTGGCAAGTGTGGGGCCCTGAGTTCGATTCCTGGTACCAAAAAAAAAAAATTATGATTTCAAGGTGCATTCATTTTCCTCCAAATGACTCAGAATTCTTCTTTATGACACAGTAGTCCTCCATTGGTGTACATTCCACATTTTCTTTATCCATTCATCTTTTGGGCATATAGGCTACTGCCAAGGTTTACCTGTTCTGAGTTGTGCTGCTATAACCGGGGCCAGATCCAACAAAGTGTAGGTGGGGTTTCCATGTTGCCAGTAGGACTGATCCTGATTTAGTCCTTTTTGGGGTTCCCAGCAGCAGTACAATTTTAGGGATGCCCTCTGCCCCAGTGCGGCTGACGTTTCTCCACCCCATGTGCCTACAGACAGACCTGGTGCAGGAGGTCCACCAGAACTTTTCAGCCTGGTGCTCCCAGGTGGTTCGCCTGTACCCTGGCCAGCGTCACCTGGAGCTTGAGTGGACAGTGGGGCCGATACCTGTGGGGTAAGTGGCTCAGGCTGGGACCGGGGCAGAGGACGGGGCAGAGTGTTTAGGTGAGGCTCACACCTGTCCCTTTGGGCCCAGGGACAAGTGGGGGAAGGAGGTCATCAGCCGCTTTGACACGCCCCTGAGAACCCTCGGATTCTTCTACACGGACAGCAACGGCCGGGAGATCCTGGAGAGGAGGTGGGGACGCTGAGGACCTGGCGGCATGGTTGGCCCAGGGGCGGCGGGGAGTGGGGGGCATCTGCTGACCGGAGGAATGTGGGAAGGAGAAGATGACGGGGTGTGAGGGTGGGGCCCTGGACCTTGACTTGACCCCACCCCACCCCACCCCACCCCAGGCGGGATTATCGACCTTCTTGGGATCTGAACCAGACTGAGCCAGTGGCCGGAAACTACTATCCAGTCAGCAGCCGCATTTACATCACGGTACCGCACCCCCACCCCCGCGGCAGGGTGGGGATCAGCCTTCACTCCCAGCCTCCCAGCGTTCCCTGGATGCGTGGGACAGGGACAGTGAGCCCCTTTCCCTCATTCCTGCCCACCTCTGGCTCCCAGGATGGGAAGATGCAGCTCACGGTGCTGACTGACCGCTCCCAGGGGGGCAGCAGTTTGAGAGACGGCTCCCTGGAGCTCATGGTGAGTGGATCCCAACCTTGCAAACCAGGTTGCACCCTGGCCGCTTGCTGGAACGCTAAGCTGAGAACTCCGTCTGTATGTTTGACCTCCTCTTTTTTTTTGGGGGGGGGGTGTTACTGTGGATTGAACCCAGGAACTTGGCATTGAGCTACACCCCCAGGCCTATTTATTTATTCATTTAATTTTGAGACAGGATCTTGCTAAGTTGCCTGGGTGAGACTTGAATTTGTGACCCTCTTGCCTCAGCCTCGCAAGTGCTGGGATTGCACATGTGGCCCCAGTGTCTGGCTATAGATCCCCTTTATCATACCCCTAAGGCCCTCTCCAGGCCCTGACTCACCCTATCCAGGTCCCCCTGTTCAGGGCGCACCTTCCGCTGTCCTGGTCCCCCGGTCAGCTGGATCCCTCTCCCCCTGGGGTCCCCCTACCCGACCCAGTTTCCCTGCTCTTTGATTTCTTTTGAAATCCCCCCAAGCCCTTACCCGGTTTCTGGCCCAAGGACCCCTGCGAGGCCCTCATCCTGTCCTGGCCCTGCGGCCCCCCAGGTGCACCGCCGGCTGCTGAAGGACGACAACCGCGGAGTGGGGGAGGCGCTGCTGGAGTCCGGGTCCGGCGTGTGGGTGCGGGGGCGTCACCTTGTGCTCCTGGACACGGCCAGCGAAGCGGCCGCGGGACACCGGCTGCTGGCCGAGAAGGAGCTGCTGGCCCCGCAGGTGGTGCTGACCCTGGGGCGCGGCCGCTCCTACCACCGCCGGGCAGCCCCTCGCAAGCAGGTGAGGGTGAGGGGGTGTAAAAGGACCTAGGGGCCAAGACCGGTCCCCCGACTTGGGCTCAGCTCCAGTGCCAGCGCCGGCCTGGTAGCATTGGGTCGCGGACAGTGCTTCCACCTGCCCCAGGCTCGTCCCCCCTTGGCCAGCCCCAGCCCCTCCTTTACACGCACACACACACACACACGCACACGCACTTACACACCCCGTCCAGCTCAGCCCACTGCAGTTCTGCACCTTCAAGGCTCAGACCTGCGAGGTCAGGGCCTGCCCCACCTCAGGTCCAGTTTCCACCTTAGCTCAGCCGCGACTTTCTTGAATCTGTCTGTCCCTCCCTGGATAAGCCCGGGCCCAACAACCTGGATGTCATGACAACAGACAGCTGAGCCTCGCCCCCACAGCCAAGTTGTCGGGACAGCAGGACTGCTGAGCCCCGCCCCCACAATGGAGTTGTCCTGACTACACGCAGCTGGGTAGCCCCCCTGCAATCTAAGAGTGCACGGCGGAGTCCCGCCCTTCTCCGCCCGAGCCCCGCCCCCGGCTGAGCCCCGCCCCTTCCACAGTTCTCGGGCCTGAGCAGGGAGCTGCCGCCCTCTGTGCACCTGCTCACCTTGGCCCGCTGGGGACCTGACGCGCTGCTGCTGCGTTTGGAACACCAGTTCGCCCAGGAGGAGGGTTCCAGCCGCAACCTGAGTTCCCCTGTGACCTTGGACATGAGGGTGAGGAGGGCAGAAGTGGGCAGGAGGCAGGAGAGAGCAAAGAGAGGGGCGGAGGTGCTGTTCCGCTTTGCTCCCCACTCATGCGAGCCCGTCCACGCCCTGCAGGACCTGTTCTCCACCTTCACCATCGTCCACCTGCAGGAGACCACTCTGGCGGCCAACCAGCTCCGGGCCAGGGCCTCCAGGCTCAAGTGGACACCAGACACCGGTGGGGACCTGGTGGCCCCTGCCTCGCTCAGCAGCTGGGGGTTCTGTGTGGGGCATGTGGGCTGTGACCTGGTATAGAGCTTGGAGGCCTGGCAGCGTCCTGACCCGGGTTAGGGGATTCAGGGTCAGAAGTGGGTCCAGCGAACCTGCAATACACTTGAAGGTTTGGTGACTCCCAGGAATAAGATGGGAGAGTGTCCAGTTCTGGGATGGTGTCTGTCACCCCTGGTATCAGCTTGAGGATATAAGGGCAGTGCCCAGAAACTGGAGACACCAGGCATAGTGGTGCATGCCTGTAATCCCAGGGAGGCTGAGGCAAGGGAGAATTGTGAGTTTGAGGCCAGCCTGGACTACATAGTGAGTTCAAGGCCAGCCTGGAATACATGGTGAGATCTTGTCTCAAAAAACCCAAAAAGAACTGGCGTGGTGGTGCATGCCTGTAATCCCAGCACTCAAAAAGCTGAGGCAGGACAATCATTGCAAGTTCGAGACCAGCCTAGGCTACAAAGTGAGCTTAAGACCAGCCTGAACTGCATAGTGAGATCCTGTCTTTAAAAAGACAAAACAAAACAAAACAAAACCCCCCAAAAAGCCAGGTGTGGTGGTGCACGCCTGTAATCCCAGCACTTGGGAGGCTGAAGCAGGTGGATTTCTGTGAGTTTGAGGGCATCCTGGGCTGGAAAGTGAATTAAAGGCTAACCTGAACTGCGTAGTGAAACCCTGCCTCAAAAAGACAAAAAGAAAACAAAGCAACACCAAAAAAAAACCCCAGAAAGAAATCAAAATTTAGGGATCACAGGGTGGTATTCAGGTTAGGGAAGTGGTTTAAGGTCTGTGCATGATGTTCTGGGGACAGATTTGGGGGAGTATGGCTGTGTCCAGACCCAGGGGAGGGAGCATAATGGGGTGAGGCTGAGGAAGTCCGCACCTCTCATTCTCTCCCCCTCCCCCAGGTCCCATCTCCCATCCCACCGTGCCCAGGCTGGACCCTGCCTCCATCACGCTACAGCCCATGGAAATCCGCACCTTTGTGGCCTCAGTCCAGTGGAAAGAGGATAGTTAGACCCACAGGCGGCCCCCTTGCTCTGGTCGTGGGGCCGAATTCATATCCTCCTCTTGCTGCCGTCCGCAAAAGCCATTAAAATTCTACTAGTGAGATTCAGGTCGTGTGTGTGTGTGTGTGTGTGTGTGTGTGTGTGTGTGTGTGGGTGGCTTTGGTTTTTGGGAGGGGTATGGAACGAGGGATCCAGAAAGGTTGGTATCCCGGAGCTCAGCTCCAGTCTGGCTCCTTGTGGGGAGGTTGCTTCCAAGGCTGAATCTTCACACCAAGGACCACAGTTCTCATCCCACCTCACGCGTCCTCTGCTTCCTGCTCCGATCCTTTGTCCACTTGGGCTCTGACAACTCTCTTCAGCAGCCAGTGAAGGCGAGCCTGGGCTGGATGTGGGCTCAGAACCTGATACACCCTGGGTCCCCCCCGGCCTGGCCTTGGGGGGCTATCTTTAGAGCAAGGGACCTAGGAGGAACAGGACAGACCCAGAGGCGGGTCCCCATCTGCAGCCATGGATGGATAGCAGGAGCTTCAGGCCTTCCGGGAGGCAGAGAGCCTGTTCTACCCTGGGTTTTGAGTGGGTTCTGGGGTCTGGTGTGCAGGGAGGCTGGGTTAAACTCTTCATTTATTCATTTGGTTTCTTGAGACAAGGTCTTGATTTGTAGCCCATGCTGGTCTTGAACTCACTGTGTAGCCCAGGCTGGCCTCAACTTGCGTCAATCTTCCTGCCTCAGCCTCCTGAGTGCTGGGATGACAGATGTGCTCCCCCACACCCAAGTTCTATGTCTAAATTTAATCAAGGGGAACTGACACCCTCTCCAGCTGCCCCAGCCTTGTGCACATGCCTGTATGGCAAGGAACGACATCCTAGTCCTACCTGCAACCTTCCTGGGACAGATAGGGACGAGGAGAGAGGGTTGTGCTCCCGTGTGGCCCTGTCATTGCTGTACCTTCTGGAACAGATGTCTAAACTCCCTCTAGAAGGACCGCTGAGCCATGACCCTGCACGGTGGCCTGTCTTGGAAATGCCAGCTGTAGCTGTTCCTTAGTCTCCTGTTGATGACACTGGGCAACTTCGTGTCAGACTCTGTTTCAAAATGAGTAAAAAAGCTGGGTGTGCTGGTGCATGCCTGTAATCCCAGCACTCGGAAGGCTGAGGCAGGAGGATCGTTGTGAGTTTGAGATCAGCCTGGGCTACAAAGTGAGCTCAAGGCCAGCCTGAACTGCATAGTGAGACCCTGTCTCAAAAAGACCAAAAGAAAAAAAAAAGCCAAACCAAAAATAAAACCACAGCCCGGTGTGGTGGCACAGCCTGTCATCTCAGCACTGAGGAGGCTGAGGCAGAAGGATTGCTATAAATTTGAAGCCAGCTTGGGCTACATAGTGAGACCCTGTGTCAAAACAAAACAAGCAAAGGAAAAAACACACACCCCTTCCCACTCCCTCCACAGCCCTGTTGGAGGCACCCTTCCTTCCCTGTTCTCACTTAACCTCTTAGCTCTCTGAAGGAGCGCCGGTCAGAGCTGGGCGCAGTGCCAGGCCCTTCCTCTGCCTCAGTCCTCCTGACGCTTCCTGTGTCGTAAAAGCTGGACCTAGTTTGAAATTGCCTCAATCAGGAACTCAGGGATGGGCCTCAGACTCTGCATTTCTAGTAAGTGCTCAGAGGATGGTGACAGTGCTTGTCTGGGGACCACCCTGGAGCACTGCCACCTACATCTCTATGGGCTGACAGGGACGAGGCCACTATACCTTGTTAAGTGGAAAAACAAAAGCTATACAGAATAGACCACTGGCAGTGGAGACTTGTTTTCCAGGACTGCCCGTGTGACATGTCCCTGTCCCTAGGCCACTGAAAAAATTTATGATTCTTGTGCCCTTCTTGACTCCAGACTTCAGGGGGCAGCATTTACATTGTGATCTTCGTGAACGATGCTTTTGATGTGCAGTGCAAAACCTGAACAGCTGCACCAGGCAGCCCCTACCTGATCCTGGGTGTCTGTTCTCCCCCTTCCTTTTTCTGTGCTTCAGCAGCTCACCCCCGGGTCAGAGCTGGGTGGAAACCCACAGAGGCAAATCGTGGTCGGTCCCAGCTCGCTCTTCCTGTGCCACCTCCGGAAGTGACTTCCCATCTCAGAGATTGGTGTTACTCATGTATAAAATGAGATCAGTGGTTTACACCCCTCAACTGTTCCCATGGCATTTCTTTTCGTTCTTAGCATTTAGCACCATCTGGAGTGGAGCCCAGTTATCTTCTTTACCTTGTTGGTGTCTCCTCTCAAGCATGAGTTCTGAGGAGCAGGGAATTTGTCTGTGTCTTGCCCTGCTGCATTCTTGCCCTTTGTACAGAGCGGGACACAGGGGGTGTGCTGTGGTTTGAGTGGGTCCCCAAATTTCATGTGTTGGAATTTAATCCCCAAAGTCATGTGTTAGTGATAGTTCAAAGGTGAACCTTTTTTTCTTCCCTTTAACAGTACTGGGGATTGAACACAGGGACTTCACACTGAGATACATCCCCAACGCTTTTTATATTGAGGCAGGGTCTAAATTGCCCATGCTGGGCTCAGACTTGTGATCCTCCTGCTTCAGCCGCCCAGAGTGCTGGGATGACAGGTGTGCACCACCACAGCCCTTTTGAACAGATCTGGCCTTACTTAGATTAGTGGGTTAATGGGTCACAGTGGGCATGGCTTTACTATAAGAAATGAGCTCTCTGGACTTCCTGGTCTCCAGAACCGTGAGCCACATAAACATCTATTTATACAGTATCTGGCCTCAGGTGTTTGGTTGTAGAGACAGAAGATGGATAGGTGTGGTGGTGCATGCCTGTAATCCCAGCACTCTGGTCACTTGCTGTTATGATTTCCACCTGGATGTCCCCCCAAGGCCTCATGTGCTCAGAGGCAGGGCTTGTGGAAGGCGGCTGGATTATCAGGATGCTATTGCTGGGTTGGTGTTAGGAGGTGGGGTCTGGCTGGAAGAGGTGGGTCACTGGGGTGCAACCTGGAAGGGTGGATCTCCCTTCCCACCCCCTCCTTTTGTTCTCTACTTCCTGGCTGCCCTGAGGTGAGCAGCTTCCCTCTACCCAGGCCCTTCCCCCCTGCTGTTGACCACACAAGGATGGAAACTTCTCAGCTGTGAACCCAAATAAACCTCTCCTTCCCGTGGTGGGGGTTGGGTATTTTGTCTCACCTTGGATTGCAGCAGAGCCTCCCCTGACTGCAGTTGTCCCTGAAGTCTCAAGAATTCAGCCTGAGCTAGGAAACCAGGAGTGAGGCGTGAACTGATTGGCCCAGTCTTTGCAAGTGGCCAGCTGCTGTTGTGCCTGGACCAGTCTGATCCCTGGATCAGCAGGCGCGCCTCTCCAGCTACTCCAGCCGGAATCCGCTTCGGATCTTCCCGCTTGATTTCTAAGGAAAGCTTTTCCTGAAGCTTTGTGCTTTAGTTTTAATTTCCGTTATCACTGAAGTATGGACCCCTGGTGGTCAGTTTCACAAGAGCGAAAGGAGGCCCGGCAGGGTGACGCCGGAAGGCTGGGACATGCGGCTCACTGTGTCTCAAAGGCCCGGGACAGGAATGGTTCAGTGTGGCCCACCCTTCCTGATGGTTGGGGACCAGAAGGGATGCCGTTAGGGTGAGGACGGTATCAGGCAGCTTGCGTGGCGGTGGGAAGGCGGCTGGGCCTCAGTCACCCGTGATCCGTGCCCTTCCTGTTGTTCCTCTGTCAGTCACCCAAAGAGGGGACCTTCCTGTGCCCTGCCCACCGCCCCATGCACCTGGGTTTCTTGGCCACAGCTCCCTGCTCTTCTTGTCCCTTCTCTCACCCTCCTGTCTTGTCCTGTCTGGGCCACACTGGGCAGGGCCTGTATTAGCATTGTGTGGGTAAAGGGGGCCCCGGGGGCCCACGGGGCACTGGGGCTAGGGTGGAAATTCTGAGCCTTGCTATGCTCTGCTGGATGGGAGGTCAGAGGCTCTGGGTAATTTGGTCCCAGGAAAGGCCCTGGGGAAGAACTTGCTTCTGGCTAAGGGGCCAATGAAACACCTCTATTACAGGTTGGATGCTGGGGATGCCTAGGGATGCTGCTGCCTCCTCCAGGGTAGCTTGCTGGTGTTGGGAGGACAAGTGAACATGTAGGGCCTTGGCCTTGGGCATGATCTAAGCCAAGGTTTGGCAGGCAGAATGGTCATTGATTCATTCAACAAACATTCACTGAACATTGCATTACCGTGTGCCAGGCAGTAGGAAGCAGGGAACAAGACAGACACAATCCCTGCTCCATGGAGCAGAGCTGCAAATAGGGGAAAAACAGGCAATGACAGGTGAAGAAGTGACCTTTGTAGAAAGGCAGATGGTGGTCAACATCAAGGGGAAAATGGTGTTGGAGTGTATGAGAAGGGCTGCCTTGAAATTTTAGGTAGAGCTGCTTTAGAAGATCTCACTGATGGTGACACTGGAGCAAGACTTCCTGTTGTTCACCCCGGGGCCTTTGCATGGCCTCCTCTGCCCCTCCTCCACATATCCATGTGACTCCTCACTCTCCATCTCTTTCAGCCCATTTTAAATGTCCCTTTCTCCCTTTCTACAAGGCTTTTCTTAACTATTTAGAAAAATGAAGACTTAGCCAGGTGTGGTGGCACACACCTGTGATCTTAGCACTGAGAGGCTGAGGCAGGAGGACTGCTGTGAGACACTGTCTAAAAAAAATATTTGGACAGCTGAGGCAGGAGAACCCCAGGATTCTTTGGCTTTCTGAGACAGGGTCTCATTACCTGATTCAGGCTGGCCTTGCATTCACTGTGTAGCCCAGGCTGGCCTTGAGCTCACAGTGATCCTCCTGTCTCAGCCTCCCAAATGCTGGGATTATAGGTGAGCACTCATGCTGGGCTTTGAGCCCAGGAATTTGAGGGCTGCCTGGGCAGCATAGTGAAAGCACTTCTAAAAAAAAAAAACAAAAAAACCAAAAAACCAAGAATTTAATGGTTGTCTTGGTTCTTTTTTTTTTTTTTGTCTTTTTGAGACAGGGTCTCGCTGTGCAGTTCAGGCTGGCCTTGAGTTCACTTTGTAGCCCAGGCTGGTCTTGAACTCACAATGATCCTCCTGCCTCAGCCTTCCGAGTGCTGGGATTACAGGCATGGGCCACCACGCCTGGCTCTATTTTAGTTCATTATTATTATTAAAGAATGATTGCTTTTCATGTAACTATCTGATTCCTCCAAGCCTCCTTATTCACTTCTTTTTTCTCTTTCTCTTTTCTTTTTCTTTTTGAGACAGGGTCTTGCTATGTAGTTCAGGCTGAACTTGAACTCACTATGTAGCCCGGGCTGGCCTTGAACTCATGGTGATCCTCCTGCCTCAGCGTCCAGGGTGTCGGGAGTACAAGTGTGCACCATCATGCCTGGCTAAAATGTTTCATTTTGAGACAGGGTCTCATTAAGTCACTCAGTTGCCCAAGCTGGGCTCAGACTTGCTATCCTTACTCAGCCTCCCAAAGTGTTAGAATTACAGGCATGTGCCATTGTTCCTGACCATTTATTCATTTCTTTACTTGTCAAATATTTACCAAGCACCTAGACTTAGTTCATTATTGATAAAGAACAGACATTTCTTTCTTTCTTTTTTTTTTTTGGTCTTTTTGAGACAGGGTCTCACTATGCAGTTCAGGCTGGCCTTGAGCTTACTTTGTAGCCCAGGTTGGCCTCGAACTCGCAACAATCCTCCTGCCTCAGCCTCTTGAGTGCTGGGATTACAGGTGTGCACCACCACGCCTGGCAGACATTTCTTTCTTACAGTTCTGGAGGCAGGAAGTCCAAGATCACGGCATAGGCAAGTTTGAAACGTGACTGAGGAGGGCTCTTCTCTCCATCCAAGATGGCACCAGAGGGGACTGTAGCAGGACAGAGAGGATGGAAGTGACAGCTTGCTGTCTTCTCTTGTGTAAGGGCATTCATCTCATTCCCCAAATAAAGCCTTTGCCAAAAGGCCCTACCTCTTAATACTAGCAAAGCAGGGTAACCAGACATAGTGGTGCATGCCTGTGATCCCAGCACTCTGGAGGTTGAGGCAGGAGGATTGTTGAGAGTTCGAGACAAGCCTGGGCTACAAAGTGAGCTCAAGGCCAGCCTGCATAGTGAGACCCTGTCTCAAAAAATATTTTTTCTTTCCCCCAAACAGTATATAACAAATCTTCTTGTCCTTAGCTTCATTCCTTCATGAGGCCTGTAAGATCCACAGTTGTCTCTTTACTCTGCTGGTGGTTTCTCTTGCTGTGCAAAAGTTTTTTAATAAGAGGAGATCCCAGTTGTGGATTCTTTGTGATAGTTCCTGTGTAACTGGGGTTTTGTTCATAAAGTCTTTACCTACACCCATGTCTTCAAGAGTTCTACCTATTCTATCTTCCAACAGATTTAGTGTCTGTGTTTTAATATTTAGATCTTTCATCCACTTCAATTTTAGTTTAATGCATAGTGAAAGATAAGGGTCTAATTTTAATCTTCAGCATGTGGAAAGCCAGTTTTCCCAGCACCATTTATTAAAGAAGCTATCTTTCTCCCAGTGAATGTGTCTGGCTCCTTTGTCAAAGATAAGGTGGCTGAGTATGTCTGGAGTTGTTTCTGCTTTTTCTAATCTGTTCCATTGGGTCTGTTTTTTGTTTTGTTTTGTTTTGTTTTGTTTTTTCAGCACCATGCTGCTTTGTAGTATACTTTCAAGTCAGGGACTGTGATGTCCCCTGCCTTGCCTTTGTTGCCCAGAATTGTTTTTGCTATTCTGGGTCTTTTGTGGTTTCAAATGAATTTTGCTTTTTCTAATTCTGTGAGGTATGCTATTGGTATTTTGATTGGGACTGTATTAAAATCTGTATGACAATTTGGGAGTATGGCCATTTTCATTATATTGGCTCTTCCTACCCTAGAGCAAGGGATATCTTTCCATTTTCTGATATCCTATTTGATCTCCTTTTTCAGAGTAGTGTAGTTTTCACTGTAAAGGTCTTTTACTGCCTTCATTAGATTGATTTCTAAGTATTTCATTTTTTGGATGCTGCTGTAAAGGGTGTGGTTTCCAATTTCTCTCTCAGTGAGTTTATTATTTATGTACAGAAAGGCTATTGATTTTTGAGTGTTGATTTTGTATGCAGCTATGTTATTGAATTTGGTTATTAAATCTAGAAATCTTTTGGTGGAGTTTTTGGGGTTTTTCTATGTAGAGTATCATGTCATCCACAAATAATGATAATTTAACTTCTTTCTTTCATGCCCTTATTCCTTTTATTTCTTTCTCTTATCTGATTGCTCTGGATAACATTTCCAGAACTCTACTGAATAAGAGGAGTGACAGGGCATATTGCGTCTTGTTCCAGATTTTATTCTATCTTATTTTATTTTGTTCCTGATTTTAAAGTGAAAGCTTTCAGTTTCTGTTCATTTAGTATGATGTTGGCTGTTGGTTTGTCATAGATGGCTTTTATTAGATTGAGATAAAGACTGTCTATTCCAATTTTCTTTTTTTTTTTTTTTGGTTTTTCTCCGGTACCGGGAACCGAACTCACGACCTTGCGCCTGCCAGGCAGGCGCTTTTGCCGCTGAGCTAAATCCCCAGCCCCTATTCCAATTTTCTGTAGGGTTTTTGTCATGAATGAGTGCTGGACTTTGTCTAAAGCTTTTTCTGCATTTATTGAGATGATCATATGGTTTTCGTCCTTGGCTCTGTTAATATGGTTATTACATTTATTAATTTACATATGTTGAACCATTCCTGCATCCTTGGGATGAATCCAACTTGGTTATGATGTATAATCTTCTTTTTTTTTTTTTTCCAGTTCCAGGAATCAAATTCATGACCTTGGTACTATATGTATTATAAATTCATCTAACATGTATAAGAAAGAGTTACAAAATGTTACATTGTGACTTGGACTATTTGGGGGTCCAACTTTGAGTCTATCTTAGGAACCTTTTTTAAGTTATTTAATTATTTTTGGATTAGAATTCCAATTTTAGTCAACATACATTAACTGTATATATTTATAGTGTGCATGGAACAAGTTCCATTTTCCACCTACCCCTGGCCACCTGCCTTTCTCCATTTTTTTTCATTTTTTTTCCATCTCCTTTTTTCTACCTTCCCCCTCCTACAGCTTTCTCAGCCTTTAGCAATCACTACTCTACTTTCAGGTTGAGTATTTTTTTAGCTGCCACATATATATTTTTGTTGTTGTTGTTGTTGTTGCTGTTGTTGTTGTTGTTTGTTTGTTTTCTGGTACCGGGAATCGAATTCATGACCTTGTGCTTGCCAGGCAGGCACTGTGCCGCTGAGCTAAATCCCCAGCCCCCTAGCTGCCACATAATAAAGAGAATATGTATTTTTCTGTGCCTGGGTTATTTCACTTCATTCTGTGTCCTCCAGTTCCATTCATTTTTTTTTTTTTTTTTGAGTAGTGGAAATTGAACTCAGGACCTTGCACTTGCCAGGCAGGTGCTTCTGCTGATGAGCTATATCCCCAGCCCCATCCATGGGTTTTTTTTTTTCTTTTGGTCTTTTTGAGACAGGGTCTCGCTTTACAGTTCAGGCTCACTTTGTAGCCCATGCTGGCCTCAAACTCACAACGACCCTCCTGCCTCAGCCTCCTGAGTGCTAGGATTACAGGTGTGTGCCACCATGCCCAGCAAAAGGACTGTTTTTTTCATTTTTAGTGATTCTGGGGATAGAACCCAGGGTCTTGCATTTGCTAGGTAAGTACTCTGCCACTGAACTACACCCGCAAGGCAATCCATGCTGCTTGTTGTAAATCATACAGTTTCATCCTTTTCTCTGTCTAATACTCCATTGTGTGTATACACCACATTTCCTTTATCCAACTCTTGGTGGGCACCTAGGCTGATTCAGCATCTTTGTTATTGTGAACAGTGCCACAGTAAATGGGCATCCAGGAAACCTCTTGACTACAATTATATGAGAGATTCTAAGCTGGAACCACCCACTTAAGTTGCTGTCAAATTCCTGAGCAGCAATCACTGTGACATAATGTATTCTTATCCTATCTTGCTTTTTTTTTTTTTTTTTGTTTTGCTTTGTTTTGTTTTTTTGGTCTGTTTTTGAGACACGGTCTCTCTATGCAGTTCAGGCTGGCCTTGAGCTCACTTTGTAGCCCAGGCTGGTCTCAAACTCGCAACGATCTATCCTGCCTCAGCCTCCCGAGTTCTGGGATTACAGGTGTGTGCCACCACGCCTGGCTTCTGCCTTCCTTTTTTGGTACTAGGGATTAAACCCAGGTCCTTGCACGTGCTAGGCCAAGTGCTGTATCACTGGGCTACACCACCAGCCCTTTTTATATTTTTATATTAAATTAAAAAAATTTTTTTTTGTTTTTTTGAGAGAGGGTCTCGCTATGTAGTTCAGGCTGATCCTGAACTCACTATGTAGCCAAGGCTGGCCTTGAATTCACAGCAATCCTCCTGCCTCAGCCTCCTGAGTACTGTGATTACAGGCATGGGCCACCACACCGAGCCTACATTTAATTTTTTTCATACTGGGTATTGAACCCAGGACCTTCACACTGAGCTACATCCCCAGCCCTTTCTATGCTTTAAAATTTTTCTTCAGACAGGTTCTCACTAATTACAAAGTTGCTCAGGCTGGGCTCTTACTTGCCATCCTGTCTCAGCCTGCCGGATATGTGAGTCTACAGGTGTGTGCTATCACATCTGCGTCACTGTTGCCTTAAGACACTGTTTTGGAGTGTCCTGTCACCTAGCCAAAGATAACCGAACAGTGTCCCAGCACTTCACTGAGGGATGTGGGAGTACCTAGCCTCTATCACTTTTCTGTCTGGTTACAGATGTCAGCATCTCCAGGAGGTGTTTCCTGCCTACCCTTCTCCATTCACCCTGTCCTATCCCACTACCTTAAAAAATAGCACTTAGTCATCTGAGAAATAAAATATAACAAATATAGTTCTATTTATAGTTACTGATGATTTACAGTTACAGACAATAGTTCTTATTTCTGTTCCTTTAGGGGTTCACCATTTCTCCTATCTGGATGGAAAGTCCCGTGAAGGGAACAACTCACCCACCTTTGTCACCTACGCTGGGTGCTCTGTCGGGACCCAAAGACAGGGGCTGTGGCCTTTGCCACTTCTGGGCAATCTTGGGGAGGAAAGACGAGCATGTGTGAGATCGAGAGAATTTCTTCTCAAGCTGGATTTGCATGTACTTGACTTTAAAAGGAAAAAAAAAAAAAAAAGGAACCGAGAGAGTCCCCGGCCCCTGGGTGGGAGGAACGCCTGGCAGAAGCTACCGGAGCTGCACGCTCAGCGCCTCATGCTCCCCGCAGTCATGTTGAGCCTGTACAGCAACACTGGGCGGCACCCAGGCCTGGCAGGTACGGCTGCAGCCAGGCTTGGGCTGGGCACCGGCTGTGGTCAGCATCCTGGTCACGCCCCGGGCAACGGGGATCGAAGCCCGAGCCTGAGGGATGGAGGAAGGAACGGGCTGGGACCTGACTGGCTTTTTCTCTGGAAGGGAACTTGCAGGAGGAGGAGGAGGAGGAAGATGGAGATGACTACGAGAACACAGCGCCGCCCTATAAGGACCTTCCCCCCAAGCCAGGTTAGAGGGTTTCTTGGGGATCGGATGTGGACGCTGGGGATGGCGGAGGGAGCAGGGTTGCCGGGGCACTGGCTGGGCATTTGACACACGCAGTCTGCTGGGTGGCCGATCCAGCCCAGGCGCCGCGGCGTCAGAGCCCTGGAGCTCCGTCCTTCTCCGGAGGACCCTCGCGTCTGAGCGGGGGCGTCGTGTTCCGTGTTGATGGAGACAGAAGGGATGGCGGGAGTGGAGACCTCTGAGGGGAGCTGAGGGTTCTCCTGCAATGGTGAGGACTCGGGGAGGTCAGACGCGAGGACACTGGCCTGGCTCTGGGAGGACCAGCAGGGAGCTGTCAGGAAGACAACCCCCCAGACATGGGTGGCTGCAAAGTTGCTGAGGCAGGAAAGCTGGTGTCTGAGAAACTGACTCTTGGCTCTCCGGCATTCTCGCATTTACACTCAAGGCTAGGTCTTTTTGTCACTGTCTTGTTCACATTGGCTTTGAGCTCCTGGTCTCAAGTGATCCTCCTGCCTCAGCCTCCTGAGTAGTTGGGACTGGAGGTGCATGCCACCATACCTCACTCAAGGCATAGATTCTGTTTAGACTTGGGCACCTCAGGCTTGATGCAGGGTTCCTCAAGAGCCTGTTTAGTGACTATAAAGGATTCCCTGAGTAGTGGTCACCAGGGGTGTTCACGCTGGTGTGGCTTGACAGGGGTCGTTCCATTGGAATAGGACCCTCCCTCTCCTCCCCTCCCTCCCTCCCTTCCTTCCTTCCTGGTACTGAGCTATGTCCCCAGCCTTTTAAACTTTTAAATTTTGTGACAAGATCTTGCTAAGTAGCTAAGTTGCCCAACTGGGCTTGAACTTTCTATCCTCCTGTCTCAGCCTGCTGGACTGCTGGATGACAGTCATGTGCCACCAAGCCCGGCTTACGTTCTCTACCCTTGCAGTCCAAGGACAGGCAGGCTGCATCCTACTCCCCACACAGTCCTCTCCCCACCTCCAAATGCAGCCCAGCTCCACCTCCACCTCCCTTCCTTCCTTCCTTCCTTCCTTCCTTCCTTCCTTCCTTCCTTCCTTCCTTCTTTTCTTCCTTCTTCCCTCCTTCCCTCCTCCCTCCCTTGTTCCTCTTTCTTTCTTTCTTTCTTTCTTTCTTTCTTGCTTGCTTGCTTGCTTGCTTGCTTGCTTTTTCTTCCTTTCTTTCACAGCATCTCACTATGTAGCCCGGGCTGGTACTGAACTTACAGCGACCCTCTTGCCTCAGCCTCCGAAGTGCTGGGACCACAGGTGTGTGGCACCAAGCCCAGCTTCAAGTCCAGTTCATCACCATATCCCAACCCAGCTGCAACCTGACCTTAACTTTGTCCTTTTTCTCAAACCTAGGACCCACTCAAACTCTATTCTGCCCCCATTTCCAAACCTGGCAGCAGGGCCATTACCCATTCTAGCCACACCCTGACCTAACATCGGACTCCCGTATCTATTACTGTCCTCCTTTACCTCATTCACCCCATCTATTGCTGCCCAATCCCAACATAAGCTCCAGCCTCACTTTCAAAAGCGACTTTGACCTTCATTCAGGGTGACCAGTTGTCCCGTTTCACCCAGGACTGAGGGGTTTCCTGTGATGGGGGACTCTAACCTGGGAAAGTCTAGTTGGGCTTGTTGGTGCTGTCTACAGTCCCAGCTACTCAGGAGGCTATGTGGGGAGACTCCATCTGTTAAAATGCTCGCAATTCAAGATGGTTGTTCATTTTACCTTTTCCTGCTTCTCTTCCCCTCCTCCTGCTCTTTCTCCTTCTTCTTTCCCTCTTTCTTCCTGTTTTTTTTTTTTTTTTTTTTACACAGGGTCTTGCTATGTAGCCCAGTCTGGTCTCCAACTAGAGATCCCCCTGTCTCAGCCTCCCAAGTTCTGGGATCACAGATGTGCACCATCACCTCAGCTGATCACTGTGCCTTAACTCTGTCCCCTCCCTCATCCTGATGCAGTTCTCACACCCAACTCTGTTTCTACCCCGCCTCCAACTGTGACTCTGACCTTACTTCCATCACTTCCTGCCATCTCCTCCCGCCTCACATCTGCCCTAACTCTGGCTTTCTCTTTTCCAGGTTCCCTGGCTCCGCCGAGGCCCCCCAAGGCAGGTGAGCTGGGGCTGGGGATGCAGAGGACCCAGTGCTGCTTTTGCCCCGCCCTAGGCCTGAACAACCATTCTTCCTTTGGCAGGAAATAAAGTGGAGAACCCCCCTCTTCCTCTCAAGCCCCCAAAGACTACAGGTGAGGGTCCAGGGCTGGCAGCTTCCTGCTCGCCTGGCTGAAGCCCTCCTCTGAATGTTTCCTTTCTGCTCCTTCCAGCCCTGGATCTCCCCGCAGTCACCTGTACGCCTCTTCCCTCGGGTGAGCGGCGGGGAACCCTTTAAGGAGCAGGAGAGGGGCCGCCTGGGTGTTTCCTTCTCATCCCAATTCTGTCCAGACGGCAGAGCAGGGGTGTTGGTCTGGGGAACCGGAGTGTCTGAGCAACTTCTGCACAAACTTCTCTCTTTCTTCCTCCAAGGTGTCAACTTTCGGGAGCCTCCTTCATTCCTGTCATCCATAACTAGTAAGTCCGAGGCCCCTTGTGGCGTCTCCCTATCTTGCCCTCCCGGTGATCCAGAACAATAGCTCTAGAGTGAAAAACTGGGACTGAGGAGCTTCTCCTTCAAAAACGGGTCCTTCCCGAGTCTACACCAGGCTCCTGGGGAGTGGAGATGTTTCCTGAGGACTCTTCAGGCCCCTTTCCTGCTTACTGAAGATATAGGAGCCAGGTGTGGTGGTGCACACTGTCATCTCAGCACTCGGGGAGGCTGAGGCTGGAGGATCACAAGTTCAAGCCCAGCCTGGGTAACTTAGTCACTTAGTGAGACTGTATCTCAAAATAAAATGAAAAACCCTAAGGAAGGGCTGCGATTGTAGCTCAGTGCAAAAGTACTGGGTTTAACAGTCAGTATTGTAAAGAAGAGAAGGAGACAGAGGAAAAGGAGAAGAAGAAAAAGGAGGAGGAAGAGGAAGAGGAGGAGGAGGAGGAGGAGGAGGTGGTGAGGAAACAGGGAATGTTCTGTATGCCCAAGAAGTAAGTGTCCACAAGATTCCATGAGTGGGGTGCTGCTTGAGCAGGTGGTGTTGGGGAGTAGGAAATAATAATGCATCATAGACATTAAGAGCAAAGGTGGGTTCCAGTCATGTGTAACCTCTCCAAGCCTCAATTTGCTCACCAGCAAAATGGGAATAATACTTCCTCTCCATCATGATAGGGGTGAGGCTCCAGTAAGGTAAGAGGGACAGAACAGGATGGCCAGCACCTGATCAATGCTCCATACATGTGCTCTGGCTTCCTCAGTACTCTCTTGCTGTCCCTATCTGGTGACACAGACAAGACTACAGACCTCTGTGCCCGCTGCTCTTGGAAAAAGGCCTAAGGCTCCCTTCACTGCTCTCTGAAGCACCGCTATGGGTTTCTGTGTCTCCAGCCTCAGCCCCACCAACTCCAGTGCCCTGGATCAGTCAGAAGTCCGGGGGTTCTGGGTGCCGACGAGAGGACAGGTGGTTGGTGTTCCTGTGTCTGCTGGTGGTGACGTCGCTGCTCCTGAGTGGCGTCAGTCTCACCGTGGCCCTTCTGAAGTGTGAGTAGGGAGGGGAGGGGGTGGCGCATGGACGGCGATTGGGGGAGGGGCACAAGAGGCCCCGGGCTCAGGCTGGGCTCTTCCTCACAGACCAGGAGGTGGCGGAGGCGCTGAGGATGGTATCCGTGCAGCAGCGGGCATGGCAGGAGAACGGTGAGCACCTTCAAGTCTTGGCTTCCTGGGCGCATGGCCAGAACCAGCGCATCCGGAAACCAGCTCCAAGACCAACCAGTCGCCGTCTGTGTCATGCACTGTGCTGAGCTCCAGTGGTGGGGGGTAGAATGATCAGATGTGGTCCTTGCCACATACCCGGCCCCGGAAGTGTGTACGTGTGTGCACGCGCGCGCATGTGCAAACCTCCCCTGTCCAATACGGTGGCATAAACCACGTGTGGCTGTTGAGAGCTTAAAACACAACCAGCTCAAAATGGGAGGAGGCACCATAACTATGAAGTGCACGCTAGTTTCATTTCTTACATCTTTTTTATTCTTAGCGTATATTTTCCATATATAATAATTACATTCATCTTGGGGAACTGGTACAATACATATTGTATATCCTCCCCCCGTTACCGGGAATCGAACTCAGACCTTGCGCTTGCCAGGCAGGCGCTGTGCCGCTGAGTTAAATCCCCAGCCCCACATATTGCATCTTAATAAATTTCATTCCCCCTTTCTCCCCTGCCCTTCCTTCTCCCTGCTTCCTCTCTGCATCTCCAAAAGTCTACCTCCCTGTTTCCTGCTTTCTCTCTCTCT